TGTTAAACATGTTTTCCTGTGACTTTAGTTTCTTCTTCATTTCATATGTGATTTTGCGTATATACGTATCAATGTGTGTGTGGTTTTCTTTTTTAGAACAAGATGTATTTCTTTGAAGGTGAGACTCAATGGTCTATTTGCTGTTTTTCTTTCCTTTCCTAGGATACGTTCAATTTAGCTCACAGTCTTTCTTCCTAATGATATGGGTAAAAATGACCGACTGTTCAACATCACAGATTGAAAATAAAACCGGTGAATCCTAGCCTCTTTTTTTGTACTTCTTTCTTTTAAAATCTAACATATTTTTCTTTCTTTATGCTTTCTTTTTTCTGTCATGGAGATAAGGTATTTAGTTCTATAGGTAGTCAGTGTCCAGTATCCTGAAGACTTCTACCTATTATTTTGCTTGTCTTCCTCTATTATGTTCATGTTCGGTTAGTCTAGAGAAGATCTTGTAACGTTGGACTGAATTCTAGTGCCACTAATGATAAGCTTGTATAGCATTTCCTTTTAAGTGAATGATTTCTTCTGTATGTTTGATGTGAATATATATGATATCATATGCTGCACTCTTGGTTGTATGTTTCCAGGTATATTTCTTTTTCTCAGAGAAATCTTTCAGTTTGTATCTTTCCTAAAATGGGGTTTTTCTTACATTGGGTTTTTGTTATTGCTGATTACTGGATATTATTTGTTCTTTTCACCCTATTGATATTCACCTATTTTACTTTCATGGCTAATCATTTTTTTCTGCTATATAATGAAGCAGGATATTTACCTGACTCCTTTGTGGGACTCACAACAGGGCTGCCTTGTTTACCCAGCCCAACACTCTTAACTACTTGTGGAAGGGAGTGCACAAGTGAACGGGTGTGGGAACTAGAGTGAATGAGTGCTGGAACCAGCCGGCTGCTTTGGTGCCAGAGGGCTCAAACTCCACTCACTCGGACCCACTGTGTCCTACCCCTTGCAGGAGGGAGTGTGCATATGAGTGGGTGCTGGAACCAACTGGATGCTTTAGCCACAGCAGAAGTGAACTCTGTGCAGGCCCCGCAACAGTGTCTAGGAGTGGGTGCCTACGACTGTTGAAGCCCCAGAGGGCATGTTACAGTGCTCTTTTAGCTCTGCTGTCCATGAACAGCTTAAATGTTAACAGCTCAGCAGACCTTTTGCCTTTTTGTGTGAGGTGGCTGCCCTGTGCCAGTGAGGGCAAAGGGCCAATGCGAAAGCCTTTTGGATCCACACTTGTGGCTCTTGAGCTCTTGTCTGGCCCCCAGGAAAAAGGAGTTTTCATGAACAAATTGAAGGATGGTAAATGCAGGGGATTTTATTGCCAGTGAAAGTGGTTCTCAGTGGGAGGGAAGCCAAAAAGGGGACAGGGTGGGTAGGTACGTCTCCTGAAGTTCAGCCATCTCTGACCAGATTTTCTCTGTAGTAACACCATCAAGCTGTCCTTCTGAAGTCCAGCCGCCTCTCTCCAGTATCCATTCTAGTCTACCAGATGAGTCTGGGGTTTTTATAGGCACAGGATGGGATGGGGCAGGGCCGTGGGTGGTTTAGGAAAAGGCAGCATTTGAGCTGGAAAACAGAGGTATAAGTTCTCGCTTTGGGCCACAGTTTCAGGCCTTCTGGCTTGAGGGTTGAGGTTTCACTTGGGGACCTGCCCTTTTCTGCCTAGAATTTTTCTGTTCCCTGTTCCTGAAATAATGAAATAACAGTTCTCAAGGCATTTGTCATCAAGCAGCAAAAGGCATTGGTCCCTGAGGGATGGGAAACAAATTAAGTGAGATCATGCTATTGTTCTTGCTCCTACCTAGAGAGAGTTTGTAGGGATGGGACAAAGCAGTGGAACCCAGGAGGAGCCTAGAGATTTCTCTGTACTGAAGAGGTAGAGCTAGCTGGGAGACAGGGGGCCAAGGCAGCTAGAGTTCACAAAATAGAGTACGAGAGAAGAGAAAGCTGCAAGAGGTAGAACTTCACAGATTTGTAGAAATTCCTTTCAAGAATTCAGTTGACTACTGATTAATATTTGGTAGAGAAATGAGTGGAGGCTGCGGAAGAACTATCCAAAAGGAATTGAGAGAATAATACAATACTCAGAGCTCACACATGGGTAGGATTAGGGCCTGAATCCATCAGACAAAAAACTTCCTAATTCAACAGGTATCAGGAAGAGGATCTCTAACATTCTGGTTTTTATTTCTAGATGTTCAACCTGGGTCTTTTTTGTTCTGTGCCTTTACTTAATATTCTTAACCTTTCTTCTGGCTTTTAGAACATATGGAACAGATTTATAATAATTTTTAATGTCCTAGTCTTGAAATTGTATCAACTGTCATTTCTGGGTTGGTTTTGATTGATTGATAGTTCTCCTTCTGGCTCTATTTTCTTGCCTTATTTTGTTTAACCTGCTTTGTAATTAATTGATGTGTTATCAGGCATGTAAAATAAGACATTATAAAGCATACCTTGTTCGGTACTGGACATTTTTATATTCCTGTATTCTTTTTTTTTTTTTTTTAAGAGATGGGGTCTTGCTCTGTTGCCCAGGCTATAGTACAGTAGCATGATCATAGCTCACGGCAGTATTGAACTCTTGGGCTCAAGTGATCCTCCTGCTGCAGCCTCCTGAGTAGCTGGGACTGTAAGTGCGTGCCACCAGCCTGAGTGCCTATAGATATTTTTGAACTTTTTTCTCATCTGCATTGCAGTTCTTTGAAAGTGTTTTTTAACTTTTAGGTATTGCTTTTAATCTTTGTTAAGTGTAACCACTTAATCTAATTTTCCCCACAACTGAGGCAAAACCCTTCTGAATACTTTATGCCTTCATCAGTTATAAGGTTTTCCAGTCTGTCTGTTGGTTACAGATGTTAAGTTGAGGATCAGATTGTCCCTTCAAGGCTTGTTTTTAAGCTCTGTCAAGATCGTTTTAGAGTAATCTTTATTCTAGGACAAATTTAGCCTTCCTTAGGTCTGTACCTCTTGCCTAGAGTGTAAAGAGATGTCTCTTCTGTGGCTGGATGGAACTCAAATGTCTCTGAGCTCAGCATCAATCCAGAGTTGTTCATATTTTAGCTCTTGGCAGATTTTTTTTCTTTTGTCTGACCTTATGGAATTTCATTGTGTGTGTAGATTAGTATTTAGTTGATGACTCAAGTGGACCCCAATGTACATGTCTGTAGCTTTTTTCTGCATAAGTTTTTCCTTTCTGGTATATTATTCCAGTAATTCTTGCCACCTCCACTGTTCCAAACTCCATTCTCTATAAGTTAGCAAGACTGCTGTATTCTGCTTTGAATCACCCTGGGCAGTGGTGTCTAGAACATGTCTCTAGGCATGACCACCTAGACCAAGGTGGTCATAGGGCTTATCTAGTTTGTTTTCTTGTTTCAGGGAACACAGATCTTTGCTAATTGTTGTTCACTCTCTGGAAACTGTTACATATTTTGTCTGGTTTTGCAGTTGCTTACCATCTGAGGGTAAATCTGTTACCAGTTATTCCATAATGGCTGGAAGCACACATTTCATACTATTGGATTATTGTGGAAGTTGGCAAAGACATTTGGGTGAAGTTACGGGGAATCACAATAAACCTTTGCTGATTTTAGACTGAATGGGTATTTAGTAATTGTATGTTTATGGGCTTTGGGAATAGTTGACTATGTCTTCTTCAAGTAGATCTATGAGATGAGATAACATAAATAGTAAAGCATAATACAGGCTGGGCATGGTGGCTCATGCTTGCAATTCCAGAACTTTGAGAGGCTGAGGCAGGAGGATTACTTGAGCCCAGGAGTTTGATACCAGCATGGGCAACATAGCGAGACCCAGTCTCTACAATATAGTAAAACAAAATAAATTTTAAAATCTTTTAAAAAAAGAAAATAGTTGCATTGCCTTCGTGGTGGGAGGAGTTTAAATTGGTGATGTTGCTTTTAAGTTAGTTCTAATTGCCTAAGATTGTTTTCAGTAGACTTTGATGCAATTGGAAAAAAACTGCTTCTCACAATTAATAAGGTCAGAGAAAAATCTCATGTTGTTGACATAACAGTAAAGCAACTGGCAGAAATACATATTTCCATAGAATGTATTGTGCCTTTGTACTGTTGCTGAGTTTTTGTACTTGGTGATTTGCAGTACACACTCAGTGAACATTTAATGTGTGAATGTTTATTAAGATCATTTCACTTGTCAGTTAATCATATTGATTGCTAACTGTGTGCCAAACATGATACTGGATGAGGGAGAAGCAGCAACCAAAGAAGTAGGAGAAGCGTCCCTGATCAAAGACTGCATGAGATGGTGCATGTATAAGGCTGCAAAATATTCTAGTGAAGATTAACAGAGTATAGAATGATTATGTCAGCTCTCAGGGAGGGAGATATAGATGGACTGGATTTTGAGAAAGTTGATGGATATATGCATTGATTGATAAAGGAGGAAAAAATCCCTGTTTTTTTTTTTTTTTTGAAAAAGGAATGGTGCATCGCAGGGTGACAGCTGAGAATAAACAAATTATTCTATGGAAAGAAAGCAAAAATAAATTGGCTTTAGTGGAATTTTGTTTAGAAGTTAGTAAGAAACTAGGTTATAGAGCTAATCAAGGTGTCATACAAAATCAAGGGGAAATACAAAAGATTTTGAGCCGTGATCTGAACAGATGTACATTTCTGAATTCCTTTTATGTTAAAAGATAGACAAAGTTAAATAACTTTTTGTTCAAAAAGCAAGTTATATGAGCGCTAACTTACTTTAAGTTGAAATATGAAGCAAATTAAGCCACTGAATATTACCGAGTTTGGGTATAATTTGCAAAATGGAAACCCATTCCTTGTTGGCATTTGGAAAGTGCTACTTACAGAATAAGTCAGTGTACAAAGTAAGTGAATTTGCATGTTATGACTGGCTACATAAGGAAAAGTTAAAGGGATTTTAAAAAATATATAATGCTAACTGAAACTTGAGTGGGCTGAGTATCATGTATTTTTCTTTTGTTCCAGGTTGCTGCTTTTGCTCAGAGGACATCCATGACCCTAATTAATGGTCTTTTTGTTCAAGATAAAGTGATTTTTTGCCTTTATTGATTAACTGGACAAATTCAGGTTAGTGTATTTTGTGGACAGCACTTCCTTCTTGTACTTACATGTTAATGTTTTGAGAAATAGATAATTTTGTGATTAATGCTTCATATGTTGTGAGTACCAGTAAAGTAGAAAGGCCAAGTCAGTCTAAAGTCTGTTGACTTGTGTATTAGTTAAGAAACATTTTCTGACTGACAACTATGTACAATATTCACTGCATAAATTGAAAAATCTTTTATTTTTAAACAGTTTTGTACTTTATGGGCTAGATAAAACCAGTTGTGGTTGAGTGCAGTACATTGAACTTTTGGCATCGTTATGTGGCATATTTGGTACTAAAAATAAGCAATTCATCTTAAACATTTCTGACATTTTTAGTAGCAGGCTTTGATAGGTATTCTTGTCCAGATTTCAGTCATATGGTAACATTTTTAAAATTTATTTTTAATGTTCATTGTATTAATTTTGACAAATATGTATTTGTCACCACAATAAAAACATTTTCCAAACCTTCCAAATTTGCTCATGTTGCCCATTGGTAGTTAACCTCTCCTTCCACCCCTGTTTCTAGCAATCACTGTTCTGCTTTCTATCCCTATAGTTTCCCTTTTCTAATTTGTCATTTAATTGGAATCATGTAATATGTAGTTTTTAAATCCTGGCTTCTTTCACTTAGAGTAATGTATTTGAGATTTATTCATGTTGCTTTGTGCATCAGTAGCTGTTTATCAGTAGTATGGTTTTTTTTTTTTTTTTAATTGCCGAGTAGTGTTCCACTGTATGGATATACCATAATTAATTTATTCATTTAACTGTTTATGCATATTTAGGCAGTTTCTAGTTTTTGATGATCATAAAACTGCTGCAATCATATTTAAAAAACAAAAATGTGATTCTGTGTTTAAAAAATTTTTTTACATTGATACATATTAGATGTACATGTTTTCAGGGTACATGTGATAATTTGATACCTTTATGCAATCAAATCAGGGTAATTAGAATATCTGTTACCTTAAATATTTAGTTTTTTCTTTACATTAAGAACATTTTAATTATTTTCTTCTAGCTATTTTGAAATGTACAATCAACTAATGTTAACTCCCTACTGATCTACTGAACACCAGGTCTTATTTCTTCTAAGTGTATGTTTGTACCCATTAATCAACCTCTCTTCATCCCCAAACCCCATATATTTTTTATTAATAGAAGTTACTTTTTGTTGCTGCTGATGTTAAAGGGCTGTAATGATTTAACAGTTGCCTTTTAGGCCATGGTTGCATTTGTTTTTAAAAATGTTTTTAAATAATAACTAGGACACAATTTAACAGACATTGTGGCTAGGGGAAGAGACTTGGAATTGATGGATATTTTGAATATAGCATGAGAAATGATGTAAAATTATTAGAAAGGGAATATATTGGAACTTGTGGTGTTTTCTGATTTTAGAGATAATAGGTAGCTTTCTTGAATATAGTGGTAGATCAGAAATATAAAAGTAGATTTATATCGTTAAGCTTCATATAGGTAGCTTCAAAAGTCATCTATAAAAGTCAAGTAAATTAGAATTCTCCTATCTTAAAAACATACTTAAAGGCAGTAAAGTTTGGGCATGAAAAAGTCAATTTAAACTTTCTTGAATGAATAGGATGAAAGTGATGGAAACTATCTTTCTGCCTTGGGGAAATTAATGACCTCAAAAAGTAGCTTGAGAACCTATTTGAATATTTATAAGGAAACTGTAGCTCATTATTTGTTATAGAAATAAAAAGGTCTTGAGAAAGTATTATGCTCTGACTCAGAAAAAGTTGGATGGCTTAGACTCTAGTTTTTAAGCCTGGACACTAAAAGACTTACTGCAACTTTAAACTGTTCTCTTGTTTCTGAACATTTTTAGGTCAGTTATGCAACTTTCATAGTATCTCTCTAGATAAATGGCCTCCCGTATTGCGTTTTCAGAAAACATTTTTTAAAAACTTTTTTTTTTTGAAACCAAATCTCACCGTTACTCAGGCTGGAGTGCAGTGGCTTAATCTCCACTTACTGCAACCTCCGCCTCCTGGGTTCAAGCAGTTCTCATGCCTCAGCCTCCCAGGTAGCTGGGATTATAGATGTGCATCACCTTGCCGGGGCTAATTTTTGTATTTTTAGAAGAGATGGGGTTTTGCCATGTTGGCCGGGCTGGTCTCGAACTTCTTGGCTCAAGCAGTCTGCTCGCCTCAGCCTCCTGAAGTGCTGGAATTATAGACGTGAGGCACTGTGCCCAGTCAGAGAACATTTCTTAAATAGGCAAAACATTTTAGGCAGAGTCAGAGCATTTTAGAGATATTTCTGAAAGAGAATAGTTATTTGTTCAATGGGCAAATGCAGCACAGAGTCAAAGATAATGCTGTGCTCAGAAGTCATGATTTCCTCATGATTTTAGGGTATTTAGATTTTAAACCAGAATTCTAAGGTCAATATTTATCTAAAGTATTTATGAAAATTAAAGTCATATTTAAATTTAATATACTTTAATTCCCCCCCAAAATCTTGAGGTTGTTACAAAATAAAAAGTTTGTATTTTTCTAGCTATTCAATATTACCATTTTTCCATATTTGAAAATTGAGATCCTATCTTGTACCATTTAAATAATAGCCTGTTTTAGCTTAAAATTAACTGCAAAAGAAATAAACAAAAACTGAGTTTTGTAAAGAATATTAAATTGAATAATTTAACTTTATCTTACCTGTTAGGTTAAGCAATGATCCCAGGATAGAGAGAGAGAAAGAATGATGAGTAAAATGAACCCTACACTGCAGTGTCTCCAAGTAGCTGTATGAGTAAAAGCTTACCGTCTCACCTCTCTGTGTCTTTATTTTCTTATTTACCAAAAAAAGGCATTAAGGTCCATATTACAGTCAGGTATAATTGGTGAGGTTTAAAACTACTGGTTTCTTCTATTTCGTGAACGCTGCCAGGCTTTGGAAATTAGTGATACAATTTGATTCACAGTGAGAAACAGCCAAAAAATAAAACAATAAAATAACATTATATTTTAAAATGTTAAAAAAATAAAATTAAAATAAAAACGAGATACTTTTCTAGAAATGGAACATTTTAAAATGAAAATAGGATCCAAACATAAGTATTTATTTTTGGATATTTGATATATAGGCTTGTTATAAGATTGTGACTTAGTTGAAGTGGTTTTAGTTTATACAGATTATTGAGAGAAGAAAGTATATGTTTTTGCTCTATATGTTTTCTCTGGAAACATCTTCTCATCATATTGTAGCAATTTTATCTTGATTCTCTAAAAATCTTTATAGTCTTTTAGGACAAAGGAAATAGGTATTGGGAGACATTTCTCTTCAGTCTTATGGGTCTCTTCTGTTTCTGCACATTTGTTGAGCAGAGTATTGATAGCTTTTGTTGGGGGCTATCTTTTTCAAAGAAATCTGTTTAGCAAACAGCCTAGGAAGATATAAATAGTGCTTCCGTTAGGACAGATGGCACATTTCTTTGCTGTGCAGGATAATTAAGATAATCTCTTTGGGGAAAATGTTGGGCATATTTGCTTGTAGCTCCTTTTAAAGATTGGCGTTTCATAAGCTCAGGTTTTCTTGTCCTGTGATGCAACCCTTAGTATGTGCACTTGGTTTTCCTTTTATTGGCCTTTAGGAGTTAAAGCCTGAGGAACCAGTACAAAATGTGGTACTCTGTCTATGTTACTGTTGTGAGTAGTAAACTGTTCTTTGTTTCTGACCTAAGAATGTCATAACTTCTGCCAGTATTATCTGATACTAGCTTACCAGATACAACTAATACATCCTATTGATAAAACAAAGCTGAGTTTATTTCTTATTGTGGTAAGGGAGAACACCGCCTTGAAAGATCTTTGGCAGTGTCTTAAAGAGGTCAGAATTTGAGAATTTGAAGTTTGGTTTAAGTTGGATCTTTTAGTGGTGGCAATGGGGCTTGATTAGGATTGGGTAGATATCATGATAAAACAGTTTAGCTTTGGTGGAAACAGTAAGATAAAGATTTTGAAAACTACTGAAGGGTTGATGGGTCTCTCCAGAAGGTCTATAATGAACAATCACATTATATTTCTGCAAGTCTCCTAGAGTAGCAGTTATGCTAATTAAGACAGTGGACTGGTAAAGTCACATTAATGTGCATAGAAAGCTGTGTGTGTGAGTGTATTAGGGCTGCTGTAGCAAAGCACCATAAACTGGGTGGCTTAATATAACAGAAGTTTATTCTTTCACAGTTTAGAGGTTAGCTGTCTGAAATCAAGGTGTTGGCAGGGCCACATTCTCTCTGAAGGCTCTAGGTAAGAATCCTTTCCTCCTAGCTTATTTATGGTGGATGCCAGAAATCCTTGGTGTTTCTTGACTTGTGGCAGCATAACTCTCATCTCTCCCTCAGTATTCACATGACATCTTCCCTCTGTGTGTGTCTGTGTTCAAATTTTCTTCTTAAAAGTATACCAGTCATGTATTAGGGCTCATTGTAATCCAAAATGACATTATATCAACTTGATTTTATCTGCAAAGACCATATTTCCAGCAGTTATAAATTTTGGGAGGACACTTACTTAATTCAGTATAGAGGGCATGTAGTTTCAATCCTGTGTCCCAACTGTATATAGGTAAATGGTGTTCACTCTCAGTGTCCATGAAATTATGGCAGACTGATGTTAGCTTGCATGTAGGGTAAAATCTTAGGTTCTTCAGAGTTCTTGACAACAGCATGGTATAGTAGAAAGAAAACCAGTCTGGAACTCAGAGTACCTTAGTTTTGCTTTATTTTTAACTAGCTTAAGAAAGTTACTATCTTCTTCAGCTATTAGTATTTTTCTGAAACACCAGGAGGTCAGTCTAGGTTCTGCTGCTTGCTGCATAGAAAGCCAATCACTGAGACAACAAGTATTGCCAAGGAAGAAAGCTTTAGTCAGGTGCAACAGCTGAGAAAATGGGAGCTCAGTCTCAATTCCATCTCCCTGACTGACTATAACCAGGGTTTATTTAGCAGAGAA